GTGTGCGTGTAGTCCCAGCTACTCAAGAGGCTGAGGCAGAAGGTTTGATTGAGCCCAGGAGTTAGAGGTTGCAGTGAGCTATGATGACGCCAATCAAAACAACAATTTGAAATCGTAGCTTTCTATCATTTACAATGACTGTTTCATGGTGTTAATGTATTATCCCCTTTCCCAAGGAGAAGAGAATTGTCAAGACAGTGATAGCTTTAATATGCATTTCATTGAACTCAAGCAAATTCTTGGTCTTAAATGTAACACTTAACTATATACTATAAGTGTATGTTAAAACATAACTCTTAGTCTTTGTAACAAACAACAAAATTGTTTTGAGCTTCATAAACTGTGAGCCTAAATTTTTTCATTTTTCCCTTGTATGAGAAACATAAACTTAAGTATAATGTAACTTTATTACATTTAATTAATGATGATTGCAACCTTATGCTTTAAAAAGTATACTATAAAACCTGTCATAAACCTCATCACAATTCAAAAATACGAAATTAGGGCCGGGCGCGGTGGCTCACGCCTGTAATCCTAGCACTCTGGGAGACCAAGACGGGCAGATTGCTCGAGGTCAGGAGTTCGAAACCAGCCTGACCAAGAGCGAGACCCCCGTCTCTGCTATAAATAGAAAGAAATTAATTGGCCAACTAATATATATAGAAAAAATTAGCCGGGCATCGTGGCACATGCCTGTAGTCCCAGCTACTCAGAAGGCTGAGGCAGAAGGATTGCTTGAGCCCAGGACTTTGAGGTTGCTGTGAGCTAGGCTGACGCCACGGCACTCTAGCCTGGGCAACAAAGCAAGACTCTGTCTCAAAAAAAAAAAAAAATACAAAATTATATCCTATTTTACAAACTATTTGAAGTAGTGATATTTTCCACTCCTACCAATACACAATTCATTGAAAACCAATAATCTTTCTTTCAACCTGCCTTGATATTCTTCTATAATAATTTTATATAACACTTTGCCTTCATATTACAGTATATGATAACTTTTCAAAGTATACTCACCACACTATGAGACCCTGAAAGATAAGAACTGCTCTATTCCTTTATTTTTATTTGTTTCACACAACACCTAGGACATAGTACAAGCTTGATTCCTATTCCAGCTAGGGAATGACAGAGATAACAGGAAAACTGTCTGATCTAAAGTCAGCCCAAAGACTCATGATGGATATCTACAAAAGGAGGGCTGATGGCACAGATGCACTAACTAAATAAAATAAGAACAGAAAATAAAATGAAGTTTAGATATGCTAAACTAAATATCATGAACAACCAGAAACTGAGGACTTCAGGAAGTCGCTTCCCAAGAAAATGGATGGATGTGGTAATCACTGGAAGAGTCCAGGCCTCCTCACCCTCTCTGCAAGTGGAAGGTGGTCTTTCAATGAAGGACACAGCTGGGAATAGGAAGACCCAGGCCTCTGGCTCCAAACAAGTCAGTGTGGCAGGGAGGTAGAAGAACAGTAATTAATTCCTCCCTATGGCCAAGTTCTAGGGGGTCACAAAATATCTCCTAAACACTTCTTGAATGGAGAGGAAATAGAATTATTAATATTTTAAGAGATTCTAGGAAAGATTTCTTTACCAGAAATATCTCCCCTATGCTTCCTAAAATACCACCAGTGAAAATATTTGATTTGTTTTGGTTAGCAATGCATGATCCCTTCAGCTCTAATGGACACTAACAATTAATGTCAGTGAATGCTAACCTCTTCTTCCCACTCCCATGATCACATTAAGAGGTTTGCAATCAAAATACATCCATATTTAAAATCCAGGTTCCCAACGCTAAGTCCAGCAGACTTTCCATCCTATCATATACTATATGTTCTTGTCCTAATATTTAGATCAGGGGACTCCATACTCACATGTCTAGGGTCAGGTAATGTAAATGTAATGTAAGGTAATGTTAAGTCATACTATTGACAGGTAATGTAAATGAGATAACTAGTTGTATTAATAAAACAGTAGGGAATCCTGGAGATTACTTTCACAGGGAGTGTGTGGCCTGTTTGTGGGGCAGCCACTACTTAATTCCAGGGCATTGTTGCTAGGCAAAAATGTAGACCCAATTTTGTTCAGATCCTCCAATTTTCAAGAGAGGATGTAAATACATATTTTTTAACATAAAATGTATCAATTTTCAAACATGTCTGTGGCTAGAAGTATCATTTTGATTGTCAATCTGTGGCCCAGATCTAAAGGAATAGACAGCATTGAGAAAATGGAAAGAGGCAAAGGGAGGCCTATTCACCAACCTCGAACCTAGCCTAAGGAGCCCTGCCTAATCTGCTTGTCTTCCAATCTGAGAGCAAAAAGGAAAAGATATCAAGAAGGAAAAAAGGGCGAAGAAAAAAAATCACCTGTTGATCACTTACTAGATGGCAGACGCTGCAGCAGATGCTTTCACATATGTTGTTTCATTGAGATATGACAATGCAAGAAAAAAAACTTTATGCATGGGAAAAAGACCAGAGGGGGAATATATCAAAATACTAACAATAGGGGTGTCATTATGAAAGCCACTTTTGCCATTCTTCATAATTTTTAACCATAAATATAATATGGTTGTATTAAGTTTATAATACAAATTACTACTAAAAACTATGGTGGATTTCTAGGTACAAATCCACCCATCCTAGAGTATAGAAAGTACACTACCATAAATTAAGTGAAATCATATATTCAATATTTAAGTGTATGTAATATATATGCAATTATAAAGCCAGAAGAAAGAGAACACAGCAGAAACTACACAAGTGATAGGGATCACAGATTGACTAAAGAACAGAAATGTGTGAAATTGTTAAGAATGTTGAAGTCATTTTCTCTCTAAATGATGAAATTACCAAGATTTTTGTGCGTGTGTTTGTGGCCTGCATAGTTATAAAATACAGTAAAAGTCCTCTCTTCTGTAAAAACTAAATTTTAGATATTTTCCCCTCTGTTACATAGTTTTCCACATTCATTGCATTGTTTTATTTTAGGCACATAAAAATCTCATGTTTTTATTTAAATAGTATTCCTTTTTTGAGTTTATGGTGTTTCAAAGATAACATATAGATTTTATTCTTTTCATAAATGAAGTATGTCAATATAGGCTGCTTGGGTTCTAAACAATCTAAATCTCCAATTAATCTCTTCCAAATATATGCATATAGTTTTCATTCTATTCATAAATGAAACCCTAACCTAAATACTTCAAGTGAAATTTCAGGGGAAAAATACTGTTCAAAAACCTAGATAATGCATTCCTCTGTTGATGCTAAATATAGTCATCTCAAGATGACATACATTTTGACAATGATCAGCCTTACATGTCAAATTTTCAAAAATAGAACAGATTCCATTTTAAGGTGAGCAGGAACAATTGCTATTCACATTTCAATTTTAAATGGATTTAAAAGTGCAAATCTTCCATTAAACCTGGATTATATCAATAACTATAATGAGGAAAACTAAATTTAAAAGAATTTAATTATAGTTTTTGCTTAGGGATCTTTAAGAGAAATAAAAAAGACTTGCACGCATTTTTCTTTAAATTATTCCGCAGAAACATCAGTGAAAAAATAAAACACCTTCAAAAATAGGGGGACAATAGCAACCAGGAAGAAAAATCTTAACTAGCTACACTGAATATTATACTAAACTTATACTAAATATACCTCTCCCCAATAAACCTTTCTCTCATTTGATTAATTACACATTTTTCTTCCCTTACCAATACCCCAAAGCTCAAAAGAATTCCAGAAACGTGTATTTTGAGTTTTCTTATGCAGCAATTTAACCTGTAAAAGAATAATATTAAAGGGGAAAATTACGTGGCCCACTCAGCAACGTGTGACTAAGATGGTATAAATACTTAAGTTTTTAAGTACTTAATCACACTACCCAAGACATAGTTATGTTGTGACGTCCAGGCCAACGGGCTCCTGTTACATGAATTCATTAACAAAATTTAGCCGATGAATGATGTTCCCATTGCTTTGGTCAGGGAACTAATTTCTTTCATATTATGGCTCACTTCTTTTCCCCACCTGCCTCTTTCCCAAGGACGGACATTTTGTTAGAGCATACCCTTAAGCTATTTTTGCCTTGTTATCTATTTCTCTGCCTACTCTCTTTGTTCACGTTATGGCCTTTAGTAAATGCAAAAGGGATATCTCAAAGTCATTGCAATAACCACCTAACCTCTCAACTTAGTTATTTTCTTTTACAAATGCCAGCCATAATACATTTTTTTAGCTTTTGCAGAGCGTTTCACAGTTTGCAAACAGTTGGAATGGCTTGGCGTTTTCCAAAGCATGTAGACAAGGAGTTCCCGAGAAGGGACTACATTCTTCACTCCAACTTCCAGCTCTAGCTGTTCAACCACCAGCATCCCACCTCGGGTAGAATCGCGGAAAAAACAGTGTGGACACAGGGGTTGGGAGGTGGGGTAGATGCCAGGCTGTTAAGTCCTATTTCACTCGCCACCCTCCTCCACGGGGGCCGCTCCAGAACGCTGTCTTAAGAATAACCGGCACTGCCGGTGGAGACGGAGACCGTGACGGAGGCACGTGGTGGGGACGACACTCAACTTCACCCGCCCGGACCCCAAGGGCACAGTAAGGGGACCGACACCCACTCATCCATCTCACAGAGGGCTCTTCCCCTGCAGTAGGGAAAGCACTCAAAACTCGGCCGACAAGGCAAGGCAATCGCAACCAGGAGCCGAAGGCCAGCTGAGGCGGAGCGACGGCGAGGCAGACCCTGGCCCGCACCCTGCCCGGCCCGCAGGACGCGGCTCCGAGGCCCGCTGCGCTCAGGCCGGCCGCCAGCGCGCGGCCACCGCTGGACGGAGCCGGGCGCGCTCCGGTGCCGCGGCGCAGCGGGCCGGGAGCCGGGGCTCCAGGCGCCTTTCAGCAGCCGCCGTCGCCGCCCCCTCCGGGGGTCCCGTACCTCCATCTCCACTGCCCCACCCCACGTTCCGCAACTCCTCTTACCCGCCAGGAGCCGGTGACAAGCGCAGGTCCTCCTTTCGCTCGGAGAGAAAGGGCGCGTCCGCCAGCGGGGTGCGGGTAGGGGTCTGCGCGCTCTGGCCGCTGCCACTTCTGCTCCAGCCGCTGGGAGCCTTCTGGCTGCCGCCGCCGCCGCCGCCGCCGCCGTCTCCAGCAGCAAGTTTCCATAAAAGTCCTGGTGCGCAGCCTGTTCCCGCATTCCAGGCGGGCCCAGCGCCGGCTGCAGCTGTTCCAAAACACAAGGCCAGTTCCCCCAACCCCCACCTCCGCCGTATCGCCGGGACAGGGGGGGAGAGTCGGGGAGAAAAGCAGGGGAGGGGGAACAGTGGCTGCCAACTTTCCTCCAGAACTTGCCTGTCGCCTGGCCTCAGGTGCCTGAGTTGACCCTCTAACCTTGGGCCTTGGGCCCGCCTCCACCTCCGAGAAGGCCCCGGGAAGGGAGGCTGCCCCCCCCCCCTGAAGGAAAGGAATGATGCTGGAATGGGCTTCTTTACCAGGCTGAGGCTGGCTCCCCCCACCCAAACCCGTTTGCCCTGGGGCCCACCTCTCAGCTACTCTACCCGTCCTAGTTTCCAATCGAGAAGCCAAGCCTCTACATTATCTTCGCCCAAAGTATTGACCTTTGGCCAACTTTCCCTATATTAGCCAGAGTGTGGGGCAGCAATCCGGAACACTTCATCTATTGCTCCCCTTTTCTTGGCTCTGGTTTTCTTTTTCTTTTATAGCCGCTAGACCACTGGGATTTGGCTCTGGTCTTTAAATCCAAAGAGAGCGGTCTAAAAGAAAAAAGTTGAAGGCAGAAAAGGAATAAAAGAATATATGTTCATGTGTGTGTTTATATATATGTAAATTTTCAGCCTGGCACTGTGGTTCACACCTGTAATCCTAGCACTCTAGGAGGCAGAGGCAGGAGGATCGCTTGAGGTCAGGAGTTTGAGACCAGCTTGAGCAACAGCGAAACCCCCGTCTCTACTAAAAAATAGAAAAAAATTAGCCGGGCAACTAAAAATAGAAAAAAATTAGCTGGGCATGATATTAGCTGGGTATGGTGGTACAAGCCTGTAGTCCCAGCTACTTGGGAGGCTGACGCAGGAGGATCCCTTGAGCCCAGGAGTTTGAGGTTGCTGTGAGCTAAGCTGACATCGCAGCACTCTATCCTGGGCAACAGAGTGAGACTCTGTCACACACACCAAAAAAATCTCCCACCTTTCCTTAACTGAAGGCAGATCACCTCTGGTCTTCCTAAATTTTCATAAAGGCATCTTCAAATATTAGGCACCCACAGATCTTTTTCAGCTTTGACCACCAGACTGTCAATTAAATCCATCAGACAACACCATAGTAAAACCTGAAATGTGCACCCAGAGGGGGCATTTTTCAGTAGGGGAGATCCTCTGTTCTTCACAGCACTTTAAAAAATAAAATAAGATCAACTGGCATCCAGACAGATAAATCAAGGAGAACGGTAACCACTTTCAACTTCAGGCCCTAGGCAGACAGCAGTGCTCAGGGTGTAATTCGGGGATCTTGAAAAGGCCTTCTGCTTTTAAACATAACTATTTCCCAGTCCCTTCTCCACACTCTTTACTCAGGATGGAAATTCTTTTAAGAAGGGTAAGCCATTTATTCCTCAATTAGAGAAAAGTTCTAAATTGGTCATTGAAACAGCTATTTAAATGTACTCTAGTGCAAATGGTGATATGTAGTCAGGATGGTCTAGCATATGTCCCAGTTCCCTTTGATACAGTCACCTTGGCCTTCTTCGGTTCGTGGAAATTTCCAAAGTCATTCTGGTTGTAGGGCCTTTACATAGGCTGTTCCCTCGACATGAAATCCACTTGCCCTACTCTTTCTTCACCTAACTTCAACACACCCTTTCAATCTCTGCTTAAATGCTGTTTCCTCAGAAAGCCCTTCCTTGCACCCAAATCTGTATCTATGATACACTCTGATTCCACCCTTTTCTTCCCCATACTTACCAATTTATAACTAAATATTTTGTTAAAGGAATAGAAGCTTTCTAATTTTTTACTTTTTTATTTCTACCCCAACAGATACACCAGATTAAACAAAGCTCTGATTCTGTCTATAAAACACTGATAGCTATCCATGGCATGTGAGGCCTACTTATTCCACCACCAATTCATCATTCATTCATTCAATAAATACTCAGTTTTAGATACCAAGGATACAGCAGTGACAAAACGAAGGCAGACAATGAGCAAATAAATGAACTATGTAGTGCCTAGTGATATCACTGTGAATAAATCAAAGTAGGGAAGTAGGGAATGCTGAGGATGGACTTCCAGATCAAAGTCCAAAAACCTCTTTTCCTCATACTTCGCAGTTACCAAAATCCTACCAGTTCTACCTAAAAAGGTACCAAGAAGAAAAATATGCCAAGCATTTCTGGATGTTGTAATTTTAGACAGAATGGCTAGGAAACCCTCAAATGAGTAAAAGTCTTGAGGAAAGTGAGGCAGTGAGCCATGTAAGTATCTGGAGATGCAAATATCTGGAGGAAGACCAGTCCAGGGAGAGGTACAAAGGCCCAAAAGAGCCTGTCTGACATGTTCTAGGAAGAACAAAGAGGCTTGTGTGGGTGAAGCTGAGTAGGTGAGGGGTAAATAATAGGAGGTACACTGGGGCAGGAGACAGACTGTAGGACTCATTTTGTAGAACACTGTAAGTACTTTGTTTTTTACTCTAAGATCAGTGGCCATTGGTGGATTTTGAACAAAATAGTCACATTATCTGACATGTTTGTAATATGTAATACACTCAGTGGGGAAAGAAAAGAAACAGGGAGACCAGTTAGGAGGTGTCACAATTATCAGAATGAGAGGTAACAGGGTTTGGGCCAAGGTGATAGCTAGGAAGGTAATGAGAAATGCTTGGCATATTTGTGTGTGTGTGTGTGTGTGTGTGTGTGTCTGTGTGTATGGTACCTTTTTGGGTAGAACTGGTGGGATTTTGGTAACTGAATTGAGGTGTGAGGAAAAGAGGTTTCTGGACTTTGAACTGGAAGAATCGAGTTGTCATTTACTCACATGCAGAAGACTATAAGAAGAGGTTTAAGCAGGGGTAGTCAGGAGCTGTTTTGACACACCAAGTTTGAGATTACTAGAAGTCCAAGATCTGCCAATGTGTATAAACATTCCTTATATATTTATAATGAATCAGTAAGGTTTATAATAAATCAGTAAAGTTTGTTCTAAATTTGATTATATCAGTTGCATGTTTTTGAAATTACATAAACATTATAAAAATGAAGAAATATAAAAGTAAAAAGAAAGTTGTAGTTATTATAAAAGCTAATGCTTTTATTTTAAAAAAAGACTTGATAAAGGGAAATAGCTTACAAAAACTACCATCAAGCTGGGGGCGGGGCACAGAGACAAATGTGAAAGATTTGGTACAAAATTATAAAAATCTAGGGAGGTTCTACACTCATTACCTTTCATGTGTCTAAGTTTTTTTCTCTTTTAGAAGTAAGGAAAACTTGGCTGGGTGCGGTGGCTGTAATCCTAGCACTCTGGGAGGTCGAGACTCCACTAAAAAAATAGAAAGAAATTAGCTGGACAACTAAAAATATGTAGAAAAAATTAGCCGGGCATGGTGGTGCATGCCTGTAGTCCAGCTACTCAGGAGGCCCAGGCAGGAGGATCACTTGAACCCCCGAGTTTGAGGTTGCTGTGAGCTAGGCTGACACCATGGCACTCTAGCCCGGGAAATAGAGTGAGACTCTGTCTAAAAAAAAAAGTAAGGAAAACTTGATGATTCAGGGTATAGTTTATGTAACAAACATATCTTGAAATACTGAGTGAATCCAACTGAAGGCCTTGATGCTATATCAAAAGATTGGCCAAAGAATGTATATTTTTTCATTTAAAATTAAAATGTCAGCCGGGCGCAGTGGCTCACGCCTGTAATCCTAGCACTCTGGGAGGCCGAGGCAGGCAGATTGCTCGAGGTCAGGAGTTCGAAACCAGCCTGAGCAAGAGCAAGACCCTGTCTCTACTAAAATAATAAAATAGAAAGAAATTAATTGGCCAACTAATATATATAGAAAACTTTACGGGCATGGTGGCGCATGCCTGTAGTCCCAGCTACTCAGGAGGCTGAGGCAGGAGGATCGCTTGAGCCCAGGAGATGGAGGTTGCTGTGAGCTAGGTTGACGCAATGGCACTCACTCTAGCCTGGGCAACAAAGTGAAACCCTGTCTCAAAAAAAAAAAAATTAAAATGTCTATGTCTATATTATCTATCACTTATTATGATTGCCTGTCATGGTATCCAGCCACCGATAGGATCCCAAATGATCCTACCTTCTTGTATTCACACACTGTAGTCCCTTCCCACATTTTGTCAGGTTTGGCCCATATGACCAATAGACTATGGCAGAAGTGATATCACTTCCACGTCTAGGTTATAAAAAATATTGTGTCTTTTACCTTGCTATCCCTTGCATTAGTCATGCTGGGGGAAGCCAGCTGCCATGTCTTAAAGACACTCAGGCAGCCCTATGGAGATGTCCAGTTGGTAAGGAACTAAAGTACTTTGCCAAAGGCCAGCAAGGGACTGAAGCCTCCTGACAACAGACATGTGAGTGAGCAGATCTTTGAAGCAAATCTTCCAGCCTTCATCAAGCCATCAGATGGCTGCAACCTCAAGAGAGTTGGAACCACCAGACAGGCTATTCCTGGATTCTCGACCCTCAGAAACTGTGAGCTAATGTTTGTTGTTTCAGAAAGCTGCTAAATTTTGGGATAATTTGTTATGTAGCAAAGGATAATGAATATACTTGCTTTAACCTTTTTTATTATCCATCTTATACAACATGAAATATGTGGTCCTTTTTAAAGTTCTTGGGACCATTCTCTCACACAGAATATTTATTAAATAAGAATTAACAAAGTTGTGGAAGTCTTATATTTTAAGTGCTTTAAAATCAAAGTGCTTCTCTATATTTAAATACTATGGTGTCATTTCAAACATAGCAAATTATAAACGTTCTATAATTTCCTATATATAAATGTACTTTGTGAGATGCTTCTGTGACACACACGAGATAGTTAAAA